GCGCGGCAGTGCCCGGCTCCCCGACACGGCCCACTTGCTGGCCCATCCCCGTTCTCCTCCTGTTCTGGGCCCTCGCCAGAGCCCTCGACCTCCTGCTCTCGCTCACATGCCGCCGGCAGCGCTCCTTGAGGCGTACCCGGCGAAGCCCGGCTCCCCACAGAATTGCCCTGCCTTCTTTTTCCACCACCGTCCTCCAGACAGGCCCTCACAAACTCGCCCCCTCAACCTCCGCCGCCGCCATCTTAACCACAGAGCTCAGGACAAGGGACAGAACGACTCCCTCTCGCCCACGCTTCCCACCTCCGGTCCTCCAGGGGCGACGCTCGCTCCTCCTCCCACTGTGGTTCTTCCCGGTCTCTAACACCACCCCCAGCCGGCCGCCGCTGATTTGGCGGGTCTACCGTGCCCCTCCCCCTCGCCACACACCCATGTGTTCCTTCCCCGCTCCCGACTTTCTAGTTAGTTGCCTGGGTGGAAGGTTGGCAATGGGAAGAAGCAAGATTATTATTTTTTGAAAAAAGATACACGGAAATAGGCAAGTATAATCTGATTATTATCAGGTGTAGAATATCTCTAGGCTGAAAATGATTCTTATGCATTCTCTCAAGGTCAAGGCATCGGGTATTGAAAACCAAATTCATTAAAAAGAGTAATTTCATTTGAAACATTATTTCTACATTATTATTTAGAAGAAAAATCTGTTACGTGAACAGGAATATATTAAGAATCCTCTTGCATAATCATTACAGTTGGCTGGTTGGCTCACTGATTTAAGTATCAATTCCCCATTGTGCATGCCAGAAGAACCAGCCTGTGTGGCATTTAGGCATGGCATATCATCCCAGAGCTCCTCCAGAAATAATTGTTGTTGTTTTGTCGTTAAGTCGTGTCCGATTCTTCCTGACGCCATGGGCCAGAGCACGCCAGGCCCTCCTGTCTTCCACTGCCTCCTGGACTTTGGTCAAATTCATGCTGGTAGCTTCGATTATACTGTCCAACCATCTCATCCTCTGTCGTCCCCTTCTCCTCTTGCCTTCACACTTTCCCAACATCAGGGTCGTTTCCAGGGAGATTTCTCATGAGATGGCCAAAGTATCGAAGCCTCAGCTTCCGGATCTGTCCTTCCAGTGAGCACTCAGGGTTGATTTCCTTCAGAACGGATAAGTTTAATCTCCTTACAGTCCAGGGGACTCCAGCACCACAATTCAAAAGCATCAATTCTTCGGCAGTCAGCCTTTATGATCCAGCTCTCACTTCCATACATCACTAGCGGAAAAAACATAGCTTTGACTATGCGGACCTTTGTTGGCAAAGCGATGTCTCAGCTTTTTAAGATGCTGTCTAGATTTGTCATCACTTTCCTCCCAAGAAGCAGGTCTCTTTTAATTTCATGGCTGCTGTCACCATCTGCAGTGATCACAGAGCCCAAGAAAGTAAAATCCGTCACCGCCTCCATATCTTCCCCTTCCATTTGCTAGGAGGTGATGGGCCCAGTGGCCATGATCTTAGTTTTTTGATGTTGAGCTTCAGAACATTTCTTGCGCTCTCCTCTTTCACCCTCATTAAGAGACTCTTTAATTCCTCCTCATTTTCTGCCATCAGAGTGCATAGAACTAAGTGTGGTAGGAATCCTCCCTGTCTGTGGTCATAAGGGAAAAGTCAGGTCATGGGCAGCTATAGCCAAAACTGTATCTGGCAAATCTCCATATCTGGTACAAGATTCTAGTATTTATAACAGGCCTCTGGGGAATCAGCTGATTTTTTTATTTACCAAATTAATAGCACTCCTTTCCTCCATTCTTCACCCAGAAAGGCACTTAAAATAATGTATTAATCAATATGAAAAAAGAGAAGGGACTATTTACCTAGAGACTTACTCTACTGTTTAAAAAGAGATGACACAAAAGGAAACAGTGCTAGAGAGCCATGAAGCTTTGCTTACTGAGTTATTGTAACAACTGATTGTGTTACTGAAGCCAATAACTCGTTCATCTATCTATTTGGATCAGAGGTCTCCAAATATGGCCTGTGGGCCACATCCAGCCCGCCTGGCCTTTTTATCTGACCTGTCCATGCGGGTGTGAGGTTGTGTGTGTGTGTGGGGGTGCATGTGGGAGTGCATGCATGCAGGTTGGTGGGAGTGCAGGCGTCTGCACGTGTTCCTTCGGCCCTTCATATCAAATTCTGAAAGAAATCAGAATCTTAGTGAGCTAATTAAATCTCTCCTCACACTCTGCTGCTCATGATGGAATATGCAGTCTCCTTATATCACATTTCTGTATAGTTATTTGGGTCCATGGAGATTTTCCTTACATGGACAAATATGTTAACTTACTCAGAGTCTCTGGTTGAGATATTTCCAACCAACATCCTTTTGCACTCTCTTTCTGTTTGGGGTATTCCCAGCTGTTCGCCAAGATAGCTTCCTCTTCAGTCTATAGTGTCAGATGCGACTGAGAGGGAACCAGACTACACCGACCTCATCCCCCCTGCCTTTTGTCATCTCTGCAGCTTTAGACACCGCTTCTCCTACTGGACCATCCTTCCCCCCCTGGTTTAGGGGGGGCAGAACTAAGGGGTCCTGGTCAGTTTCAGGAGCTTGCCTGAAACCTGACCAGTTCTTGCTGACTTCCAAATGTCTTCCATGCCAACATTACTCCAGCATTTATCAACACAGGTATGTAAAGGAGGCACCCGGCAATGGTTCTTGCTTTAAATAATTGTTTGCACACTGTCAAGCTTGCCCATGCCCCATCCTTAAAAAAAGTAAGATAGTATTTACCCTTGAAACCAGTACTGTATAATATTAATTACCAAAAAAATTGGATACATATATTCTGAATTGGTGGGATGGACGCTTCCAGGATGAGTTGTGTTCCTTCCATTACACAGAAGCTAGAAGTAATGTGATCCAGAACAATCTCTTCATTTCAGAACCAGTGCCCTCTCCCTTTCTGTTCCAGTTATAGCTAAGCAAACAGGAAGTTTTAAATTGAAACAGACCAGATTAAGGAACAGTCAGAAGGCAATGCTTTGTAGTAGTAATGGCGGTGCTGGTAAGCAAAGTGCTGAAATGTCCAGTCTTCTCTTTCCCTCACTGCCACCAGTGGATTTCCTTTATCCACAATATAAAAGACTTTAGTGAAACACTTGTCTGGTAACTGCCAGCAATACTTATTTATTGAAGTATCAAATTTAATCATAATCACAGACGTTCTTCAAATATTCATTGTACACATTCAAATTATTAAAACACCATATATCTTGCCACATAACCAATCACCCCTGCTGTCTATTAACCTTGACCAGCTTATCTCTGTTAGTATCTGTTTCTTCTCTCTCTTCTCTCACTATCTCTGACTATCTATCTGCAAATTCTATATCTCTTATCTTTCTCTTATCTTATTTCTTTTCCTGCCAAACCTTTACATATCCGCTGACTCTGCCCCTCCAATCCTCTCATAGGCTCATGCAAATGAGATCCTGACTATGAGTGACAGGAGTGACGTGGGGCAATCTTCACAGTAAAAAATAAAAACAAAAAAGGAATTAGGCAATTAATCTTAAAGGTGACACAATATTTTTGGTGGTGGTTGTTTTTTTTCTTTTTTTGGTCTGAGTCTGCTTAAGATTGTTTCCTTTCTCTTTAACTCTTAAAGGAGGTGAACCACAGCAGATTCCTCATGGATGCACTGAAGGACATAAATAATGCTTTTTGCTGTTGCCACTGCTTAAACGCCCATTGGTTAACATTTTTTCTTCTATTTTATTTCAGGTTGAGACCTTGAAAACACTCCTCACCTAGACAAAGCTTTGCTTTCAAGAATAACATGACCAGCTGTGCTTACTGGAGCCATGTGCTGAATTCTAGAGGCCACATTCTTTCACTATCTAACCAGTTAATTGACATCTGAGAAACATCTTCCCTTCCTTGTGGGGAGTTTGCAGCACCAGTATGAGACTGCTTTGTATAAAGTAGTATTTCCCTCTGGTGGCCAGTATAGGCATCTGAAAGTCAAAGAGCTGAAGAAGTGAGGGAAGTAAGCTTGGATTTTCCTTATTATTGCACCACGACCCCACCTCCATAGTAATCCTTCCAAGGAAGCCTCACACACTATTTGCAGGTATATTTTCTTCACATTGACCTAGTTGCATGTCCTCTGCTGCAATAAACTCCACCCTATGCCCAGTGGCTTGTACCTGTACTGAAATAAAACACCAGTTGTCTGTTGTTGTTGTTACATGTCATCAAGTTGCATCCAACTTATGCCAGCCCTATGAATAATCTCCACCATGTTGTATGTATCCAAAATGTCCTATCTTCAGCTCTGCAAACTCAAGCCTATGACTTCCTTTAGAGAGTTAATCCATCTTGTATTTGATCTTCCTTTTTTCCTTCAACTTTTCCCAGCATTACTTCTTTTCTATAGAATCTCATCTTCTCATGATGTGCCCAAAGTAGGACAGGCTCTTTCATCATTTTTGCCTCTAGAGATAGCAAAGGCTGGATTTGGTCTAGGACCCAACTCTTTGTGTTTCTGGCAGTCCAGCTTATTTGCCAAACTCCCCTACAGTACCATATTTCAAACAAATCAGTTTTCTTGTCAGCCTTCTTCACTGTCTAGCTTTCACACCCATACATGCTGTTAGAGAATACAAAAGCATGAATGATCTTGGTCTGAGTCTCCAGTGACACAGCCTTACACTTTCATTATCTTTTCTAATTCCTTCATTGCTGCCCTTCCGAGTTTTTACAATCTGCTCCTGGTTTTGGCAGAGAATACAGCTTCGCCAGCTCCTGTTTCTAATTAACATAGTCCATTTGATTTCTGTATTGATCATCTGGTGGTGTCCATGTGTACAGCTGATTGGTTGCTTGAAGCATGTGTTTGCAGTAAATATTGTTGGCTTTGCAGAATTATGTTGCTCTCCTGCTTAATTTCTGTCCCTAGGCCAAAATTTCCAGCAACATTTGGTTCTGCTTTGTTTTCTTTTTTTTCCATTTCAGTCATCTATGATTATAAGCATGTCTTGTTTTGGTGTGTGATCAATTTCCTTTTGGATGATTGCTTAGAAGCTTCCAGTTTCATCTTCAGCTTCTCTTGTGAAAATACTTCTGAGATACTGTTTTTTTAATAGATGCTGCTCATCTTGAGAACTATCTCGGTTGGCTTGTATAAGATAATTTCAACTCTCATAGTGACTGTTGTCTGAATATATTGGGTTCCCAAAGAGCTGCTGCTGCTGCTACTGCAGACATTGATAAAGATGACTGCTGTACCAGAATGTAAATGTTCTTCTTCACAGTTGTAATTAGTTTACTCTTGCCCTTTTAATCTCACAAGGAGCGTTCAGCAAGACCCAGAACAGTGAAAAATAGGAGACAAAAGAAACCTGGTTAACAGGGAGTGGGGAGAATTTTTCTCATCAAGAATACTCAAAGGCAGAGACAAAATAAATGAAAAGAGGAATTAGCCCAAAAATTAAACACTTGAAACAGTTCCTGTTTTAACAAAAGCAAAAGAAAGAAAATTAAAAGCAAAGACAGCAGCCTAAATCCAACTGTCAGTCCCAGAGTAGACTAATTGAACCAATTACAGTGGTGCCTCACTTAAAGACGTTAATTCGTTCCAGTGAAATCGATGTAGAGCAAAAACATCATAAAGCGAAATAAAAAAGCCAATTGAAACGCACTGAAAACCATTCAATACGTTCCAATGGGCTGAAAAACTCACCGTCCAGCGAAGATCCTCCATAGGGGCGGCCATTTTCGGTGCCTGTAGAGCGAGGAATCCATCCAAAAACACAGCAGGGAGCCATTTTCAGCACCTGGTGGCCATTTTGAAAACCCGATGATCAGCTGTTTTGATCGTCGTAATGCGAAGAATCGGTTCCCGAAGCAGGGAACCAATCTTCACAAAGCAAAAAAAACCCATTCAAAACATTTTGCGATCGCAAAAACATCGTCATGAAGCGGATTCATCGTTATACGGGGTAATCGTTAAGCGGGGCACGACTACTGAATGAGTAGTCAACACTTGTTCAAAACCCATTGACTCATTAGGTCTACTCTAGTTGGAACAAGTAACTGGATATAGGCCATGGAAAGACTTTGTGAGGTTGTTTGTTCCCTGATGCCTGGGCAGTAGAGAAACAGAAACCATCTTGGAGGCCTGGTTCACATTAATCAGGTTAAAACATATACACACACACACACACACATCTGTTTTATTAAAATCTTTATTCACATAATACTTCTTTATGCAGAGTCTGACCTTGGGAAAACACGTAACACAGTTGAGATTACATTGTTTTCTCCTCTCCTGACATTTGCAGCTATTCCCAAGAGCAGCCCTCTTGCAGCAACAAGGTGTAATTCTCAAGCATTCTGCTTCAGCTGCCACACAAATAAGTTACCTTCTTAATAAATTAGTTTCTCTTTTCTTTCCAGTTCATTAGATACCCAAATGGGAGCTAACCTGGTTTCCTCCAAAGTATTCGCTTATAAAGACATGTATTTGTTTATTTAGATGTGGGTGCCCCTCTCAAATACTTCAGTGTTTCAAAGCTACTTCTGTGTCCCTTAGTGGTAGCACAGAAATAAGCATATTGTATTCATCTTGAATCAAGTTGTTTCATACTGGCATATAGCTGCATTGACTGGAAATGAATAAGGGAACTAAAAAGTCATCAAAAGAATCTTAACCAACTTGTAATATGCTTCCCAGCATTAACAGCATCTGATCTAGTGCTAGGTGTAAGATTGATAGTGAAAATAGATTTCTATTCAATTTTACTGGGACATCTGCCCTGATCTTTCCTTCATTTTAGTTACCCTCATGGTGGCAACTGTTAATTGATATTTCTTATGGCAAGATGAGATGCTTACTTGAGCCAGTTTGACAGAAACAAACCTACTCATGAATGTTCTCTTTGTCCACGGTAGATAGAAGTTTGCTTTACTACTGTTTAGGAAACATAAGACTATCACTGGTAATGACCACAAACACAAACTTTAAAATGCTTCAGGGGCAGGGAAAATTACTGCAGAAAATTAAGAAAGGGGTGGGGAGGGAAATCATCTTTACATCCTCATCTCTTATGCCTGTTGTTCCAAGGTCCTGACTTGTCATTTCTGTTTTTTTTTAAATTAAGGATAGAGGGTCTTTGCCCAAACCTGTTAAAAAAATTGATGGGTAAACCTTTATATTATTGTTAAATAAAAAATACGTACCAATTTCAGAAACATTAAGCTGTTATGAAAGGGGTGCTAATCCTTTTGAGTGACATTTGGTGAATAACAGAGACTACTACTATGTAATAGCCTGAGCATTACATATTAGAAATAGATGCATAAGGTTCCACAGATTTCTCCCCAAAGTGAGAGAAGGAGCTGTTTCAGGTATATCACTGATATAATGTCCTTAAGCTACAAACAGAGGATGCAATTCCAAGCTTATAGTCACAAAGCCAGTGGCTCACACCTTGGGTATGAAAGGAGAAATGATATGCTGGATGAAAAGGTCTACTGAAGATGCTTTTAACATTACGTTCAGCTCAGCCTTGAAAAATGACAGAATACAATGAATGCTCCCTTAACCAGGGCATTAACCTGTGACTGCCTTACAGGAAAAGTGACACACCAGTCAGAAAATTTTCCATTCCCCAGACTCTGATAGTATATATCTTTTATTTTTTTTTAATTTTTTTGCAAAGTTCAGCCACAAGCTTCCACTGTCTCTTAAAAGACTATCAACACTGAGAGGACATAATGAGTAGCTCATACTGGCTGCTCTTTAAAAGAATGGTGTGCCTTAATTATATTTGCATCTATTTTTAAAAGAAGGATTGTTAGGCATTACTGGAATTTTATTTAATTCAAAGCAGCAATAACCCTTCTGTGTGTGAACATAGTAATGATTTGCACCAATCATCTCTAATCTTCATGACTGCCTGGGTCTCTGCAGCATCATTCAAACCTGAATTCTTCCAACCTTGTATCCTTCCAGGACCTAAAGTAGTCTATCTCTTCAGGATCTTAGAACTGAAAGACTAAGCGCTCTTGAGACAAATTCCAGACAATGCTGCCTAGGGTGTTCATGTGTCTGGAGAGACACTATAACATCTCTCCAACAGCTATTTCTGCCCTGGTGCTCTCTTTTCCCAGCCTGGAGGCCTAGACATCCTCTCCTTTACAGCACTCTCCTTTACAGCACTGAACTACATTAAAATCTTCAGAATTTATTTGGAATAGGTGAAGGGACTATGTCTCTTCTCTAGAACCAGTCTATATTCAGATTTCTTTTCGAGTCATCCCAAGAGAGCTCCCAGTGCAACATCCACTGCCAGCAATGGACATCCAGTAAATGATACAGGGCTACCTGAGGGCAAGTTCCTTGTTTGTAGCAGAACGTTCAAACCACTGTTGCATTCTCCTCTGATGCAGGAAATCTGGCATTTCAGTTCCAGTCTCTCCTGCCTACAGCCATGCAGAACCAATTGTGCTGTTTTTCTATTGTTTGCTTTTTTAAAAACAAGTCCAACCAACTTCTTTTAAAGCTACAAATGGGAAAGTGTCATCCGATCTTCCACCAGCACAATATCTGGTCCAAACTGGTCTGTACATTGCTTTACTGTAGCCAAGATGTTCAGAAGTCGCTGGTCCAGGGCATCCAGATGAGCAACAGACAGCACGGGTGAAATAGGGTCATGTGACATGGCAGTTTTTAAGGCAGACCTCAGCACTCCATTCTTCAGGTAGTTCAGCCTGTTCCAAGTAGAGACTCTGATGCTGCAAAAGGAAAGGAAAAAAACCATGTGAGGGGAAAAAATTGCATTACTGACATCAGATAAGGGACACAGAGTCATCTGTTTAGGCCTCTTTATACAGGCTCTTCTAATAACAGTAATTATTTTTGTGTGAAATAGAATTATTAATATTTATTTATTTATATACAATATTTTAGCCGTACAATTACCAGTGGCTTCTGGGTGGCGTACAACAATATTAAAACTTAAAAACATTAAAAAAGACAATATAAAATATCCTATATTAAAACAATTCTTAAAACATTAATATTAATAAGTCCTGCTGCTCATGTGGCCAGCTAGAGAATACTGTTTAATTAAAATGCTGGCTAAACAGAAAGGTCTTTGCCTGGCACCTCTCAATAGATATGCTCATATCCTGAAACACACCCAAAAATGTTCAAACAAAGTGGAAAAAATGCTGAACAGAGGAGTGAGCAGGAGCTCAGTGAAGCATGATAGGCCAATCATTGGCCAAAATCCTGTTGCTTAGTTATGTGTGCAGAGAGCAAGTGGCATATCTTGTAGTGTGCTCTTGCAGGCAACCAGCAATTCTTGACTGAGATTTTCAGGCATGCACGTAACTGCTGGCTTTGTTCAAGAAAACATAAGCAGCGGCTTGTCAATTGTCCATGAGAACACGCTGCAAGTTGCGTTGTGTGATTTCTTCAGGTGTCATTTGGCTAATTTGCCGGGTAGGTGGGGCTCGTCAGCCTTGGAAGGCAGCCCATCTAGGAGAAGGAAAACTCTGATTTCAAACCTTCATTGCCTTGTGGCTATATCCACTGATGGAAAAGGCTTCAGGAGTAAACCTCGAGGCAAAATCCGGAGCCAGAATCCCAGAGGCAGTTTGTGTCATTCTGGTAACTCCTGTAATGTCGCTGGAACCAGTTCTATTGGCTCTTGCCTTTCCATTGGACTATTTCAGCGACGTGGAGAGGGGGGATTTGCTGCTTGGGTAACAGCCTATCCTCCATATTATTTTACCCAGGCTTCATACTCCGGAGAGAACACTCCAGCTTCACATACAGCCTCGAAACAACACGGGAAGTAGCAGTTACCGGTTATAAGTCTTTGCTTGATTGGCGTAGAGCATGACGCCAGGGGCTACTTCTGACGGTGGGAGATGTCATTGCACCTCACTAGGTAGATACCCCCCGCCTTAAGCTGGGCAGCCCCCAGCCAGTAAGGCTACCTCACCACGGTCTGTTAACCTCACGGGGTGCATGCGGTTTAGGGTGAAAGCCGACAAGCAGATCAATAACCCTGCAGCATGCAACAATCATAAGAAAACTTCTGCCCTAAAGCTGGGCACCTGGAATGTATAGACAATGACCCCTGGCTTTTCTGACGACCTGCAGGAAATAGACGATGTGCGCAAGACAGCTGTCATCGACATGGAACTGAGTAGACTGCACATGGACATTGTTGCCCTGCAAGAGGCGAGATTGCCAGAGTTGGGATCTGTCAAAGAAAAAAAACTTCTCATTCTTCTGCCAGGAAAAACCATTGAATGAGATCAGGGAATATGGTGTGGGCTTTGCGGCCAGAAATATTCTTCTGAGATCCATTTTTCCACCTACTGTGAGTGAAAGAATCCTGTCTCTGCAGCTCCACTCATCAGCAGGACCAGTCACCCTCATTAGTGCATATGCACCAACACTGTCGTCCACAACAGAAGTCAAAGACAAATTCTACGACAATCTGGCAGATACTATCAAAAAAAACTCCCCGAGACAGAACCACTGTTCATTCTCAGAGACTTTAACGCTAGAGTTGGTGTTTATCACAATTCTTGGCCCACTTGTTTAGGCCGTTTTGGCATTGGGAAGATGAACAAAAATGGCCAACGCTTGCTGGTGTTTTGCTGTTATTATGGTCTTTTTGACAGCAATATGTTCTTTAACACCAATCTTTAACACAAAGGTTTCTGGAGACATCCAAGATTGAAGCATTGGCATCAGCTCGATTTGATCCTCACTAGACATTCTAGTGGTGCCTCGCTTAGCGATGTTAATTTGTGCAGAAAAAAATCGCTAAGCGATAACATCGCTAAGCGAAAATAAAAAGCCCATAGAAACGCATTAAAACGCGATTAATGCGTTCCTATAGGCTTAAAACTCACCTTTAAGCGAAGATCCTCCATAGCGCTACCATTTTCGGTGCCTTTAAAGCGAGGAATCCGTGCCTGAAAACAGCGGGTGGCCATTTTGTTTACCCGGTGGCCATTTTGAAACCGCCGATCAGCTAGCCGAAAATGGGGGCTTTGTGATGATCGCTTCCCTGCGATCATCGCAAAGCGAAATTTCCTCATAGGGAACATCGCAAAGCGATCGCTTTTGCGATCGCAAAAACAGTGTCGCTAAGCGATTTCATTGCTATACAGAGTGATCGCTATGCGAGGCACCACTGTATTATGATCACACACAGTTACCAGAGTGCTGATTGCGATACTGATCACTCCCTGGTGTGTAGTAGAGTAAAACTGCAAACAAAGAGATTGTATCACACGAAAAAGGAAGGAAGACCACATATTGACATCAGCAACACTCCTATTTTGCTTGTGTTGTTGCAGTTTGTAAATACCATTAAAGGTTTCAGAACATACATCAGCAAGACTCGCAATCAAAAAAGAGTGGAGGAATTTGCCCAAGCGCTTGAGGAAACCCTTCCAGGCCCAACTGATGCAAATGCACCTGAACGATGGGAACATTTCAAGAACGCTGTGTATAACACTACCTTGTTCACATTTGGCAAGAAGACCAAAAAGATGGCCAACTGGTTCGAAGCCCATTCGGAGGAGTTGATGGCAGCCATCGAGGAATAAGAGGAGAGCTCTAGCAGCATACAAAGC